GGAGTTCAGACGTGTGCTCTTCCGATCCCCCCAAAACCCCAAAACCCCATATGATAAAAATTGAATAATTTTAAAGAGAAAATTAAGTTAATAAACGCACGCTTCACAATATTTAGTTATTTATAAATTGAATATGCTTATTCTTGAACTAAAATGAGAATGTATTCAAATATATGTTAGATTTATGATTGAATCTACGATTCTATTCCTAAGATAAGTTACTCCTTTACTCTGGATATCGATCTCCTTCCTTAGAGTTAAACATTCAGCAATGTAGCAAGCAAAGACCAACATATCTTCTTCAGTGTCTGCCTCCACTTCGTGTATTTTACCCTCAACTTCATCATCATCGAATCTTATTCCATTCACATTGCCGACCTAGTCTAACATATTAAGCACTTACTCAGATATGTCACCTATTTTTATTATTGAGAAAATTTTGAGCTTACTATTATCATGTTAGAGATTAGGTTTGTAATAGAGTTCTGCAGTTAAAGTAATAGGATTAATATGAACTAATACTGCCTGTTTACGATCCTCAGAATTGAAAAATACAGGTGCTAAAACCGAGTTCTTTTCAAAGAAGCCCTTAAATTTCTTTAATCTTTTTCCTGCCATTTCTTGCTAGTTCTCCATGATTTCATTTATTCCAAGGAATGTCATATTCTTAGGTGGTGGTTGTACATTCTATTGCATTTAACTTACTTATGTCTTTCTCAAGCCATATTGATTACTTTGAGCGCTTGTACTGTGCAAATCTTATGCGATTAGGTTGAATATTTCAAGCATTTTCAAGTATACTTAGTAAATGTCCTCTCCAAAGTAACATCCGAAGTCGACATCTTTGACATCCTAAACACTTACTTTTAATTTCAGATACTCTATTAGCTATTTAACTTAAGGATGAATATTCCTATCCAAGTCAAAGGTAAATTTTGGAATTGACTTTAAGTAATCTCTATTTCTGTTGATCTTAGTTTGAGACTCTTATGTTTTCTCGACTAGAAAGCTGAAATAAAACTTAATCAATTCAGGTGAGTATTTTTAGTTCAATTTTTCAATAGTATCACCTTGCGGCAGGCCAACTTAATTGGGATTAGTAGAATTTCTCTTAGAATTCGGATTACTAAGTGTATTAGCTTTAGTTGCTCTAGCATTCGATTATCTTTCATTCAAGTTATTACTTTTTCTATTTAAATTTTCAAAGGTAAATTTTGGTTCACTTATCTATTCCTCAACCGATCTCTCTTAGCTTTAATGCTAGTCATGAAGATTTTTTTGGCTTCTGGATTTGTTATTTTTGTTAATCTTTTTTTTTGGATTTTTGCTATGACTGTTAGCCCTTGAGAACATATCATCTGGAAAATCCTCCTCAACCTATGATGAGAAATTGAAATCTCCGAATCCTTGATTCTGAGCGTTATCCCTGCTGACAAACATGCTATCCCTGTTATTAATCAAAGTGAAGTTTATTGAGTTTCTCATTATGCTATGCTTTGCTTCTAGCATTTTGAGAAATCTATTTCTAATCTCGGAAGGGGATGTGATTTTAAATTTAATTTTAATGTTTTTCTCTATAAATTCTGACTTTGAAAGCACCATAAGGATGCTGTTTGAACTAATGTTAGATCCATACTTTTATCTTTGTTACTGGCTATTATAACCTTAGTTCCTATCAGCAACAGATTAAAAGAAGAATTCTCTGCTAATCATCCCAGCGAACTCTCTCAATTAGCTGCTCGTAGAATCTATTAGGAGTAATTAGACTCGCTCAACTTCCTCCAAGATAGTTTTTTCCTCTGGTACATTACGACTTAGTTTATTTTACTGTTCAATGATGTTGGCAATTAGCAAACTAGGAATCATAATCAAATATTCAAGACGGCGTAAAATCCACTCATCATTTGGTTTCATAGCTTTTTTAGCCACAACCTGCTCAGGTTGAGCCATTATTAAATCATATAGCAAGCCTAGCTTGGCCTTATCCTCTCCTTCACAGTAAAGTAAGTTAAACATATTCATCTTCACTGCATCGTACTCTGTTGATGAACCAATTTGATTTTTGAAGAAAAACTCTTAAGCGAATATAGTTATAAGAGAAGTAAACTGAATGTTAAATTTCTGGTACAAAATGGACAGCTGTCGGGTAGAAATCGAGCCATCAAATGATGCTAAGAGCTTGGCCTCCTGAATAAACTCTGCCACTGGAATTTTCTTAAGATCCCAGGTTAATTTGCCCTCAAATTCGTTGAAATATTGCAAGATCCTGCTTTAATCAATTTATGAAAGGTCTTCCATTTGCTGCCTGTTGGCATATTAATCGTTCTTTTAGTTGCGCTTTCCACAACAAACTAGCGAAGTGAAAAAATTCATTTTATTTAATCAATCACAACGTATATTCAGAATAAATTTAATAACTACGTTTAAGTTAATATAAATCAGTTCAATTAAGGGGTTTTGGGGTTTTGGGGTTTTGGGGTTTTGGGG